CTACAGGAGCAGAAATTAGACTTACAAGATACCTATGATTGCCTGACAAAAGATAGATGAATTGAAAGGAGCAAAATGAAATATTTATGGCAGATAAAACTTTTCATTACCCTTACTACTATGATGCTTTCATAGACGTATAAATTTCCCATATCTTACAAAATGGACATAATTATGTGCAGTTCTATTGTGTCCATTAAACTTGAATAAGCTTGTTTTTAAAGAATTTGCTTATTCATATAAAATGTATCTAGATTAAATAAAAATGTAGAAAAAGAAGAAGGAAAAAGGAAGGGAGAAAGAAAGAAGAATTGAAAGAAAATGGGAAAGAAGGAAGGAAGGAAAGAGTTTAAAAATAAATGAATTTGTAATGCTACCCTTATTAGATATCTCCAATAAAAGAAAATGCTCCTTTATTTGTCACTATGTACTGAGTGTGTTCTGTGTGTGTATGTGTGGCAGAAATGGGGTAGAAACGATTGTTTATAAGTTGCAATTGAGAAGTTATAAGCAGATATAAAACAACACTATTCAAACAGTACATTCACAGATTCTGTGTTAAGCATCATTTAAACTAGGAGCAAGAATATTCAACCCTCTCCCCAAATCACATTAAATAATGTAACAGAGAATATATTATTATGCACTTAATTTACATGTTAGGATATTTCAGAAAGGTTATGCAAATAAATTAAGAGATTATTTTTGGTACAAAAAAGCTTTAAAATCTACATGTAATTTTTCCACAAACTTTTTGAAGATCCCTTTTTTAAACTTACGAAGAAAATGAACCAAATGATAAGTCAGAATTAATGTTTATAAATATATTCACAATTGGAAATGTATGGCACATTCAACAACTTAATTAGATTTTATTATAAATGCTCATGTTTAGGGATCTACCACTTAAAATTAGATAAATTAATAGATAATGAATCTACAAAAATAAAAATATGTTATAAATTACATAAAGTATTGTGTAAACAAAAGAAGTATTGTGTTTGAAAACTGGTCCCTACATTCAATTATAGCCTATATCTAGGCAATAAAATAAGTCAAATTTGAAAAAATACAATAGTTTACTACCATATTATTTTTATATGAGATTGCTACACATTTGTTTCCCTTTCTCCGAAAAGTCTCAGTATTATTGTGATTAAATATTAATCTTTGTAATCAAACAAAAATCCAAATGATAGCTATATAATAAATTCTGTAATTGAGTCACATTTTCACAACATCACGAATTGAAACAGGGAACCATATTAAAAAATTTAATGAAAAATAATCAGAGTGCAATAACATTGATTTGGGGCTCTTAAATGTAATTCAGAGGAACTTGGTAAATAGCTCTCAAACACATCCACAGGGAAATTTTTAAACTGAGGTACATCCAAAATTGAACATTTAAACTAAACTTCAGAACAAAAGGGTCTGCACAAACCTAACCAGTACATGCTGACCTTGAGAACAGGATGCAAGTACAATTTTTGTAAAGCAATTCACTAATCTTTCTAGCTGTTTGTGAGGTCATTTCCCTTTTGAGGCTATGCTTCATCCCTTTCTTGCAAACTCTTGGTACTATATCATTGATAATTATGGACACACAGGAGATGAAATTATATACCTCTTGGTAGTTTAATCTAGGGAAACCTTTTGGGGGGCACATTTTTAAGACTTTTAAATTTATGTCTCCTAGATTGAAATACTCATCAGCTGTAGTTAAAAATAATTCTATCCTATTCACTTATTCATTTCTCTGGGTCAACAAGCTACTTTGCCTTAAATTGTGGTCAAAGGGTCCACATCACTGTACCTTTAGGATTTCGCCATCTATTAATTCAGTGGGAAACAATCAAGCAACATGAATATGGACAATAAACATGAAAAGACAATCTTTTCATTAATCTAATATTTAAAAAAATGATTTGGAGTTCTTCATTTAAAAAAGTGAATAGTGAGTACTCTCTCTGGCTTTTCTCAATGAGTATATAGCATTCTCACAAAGTAAGCATTTATTTAAAAACTACCTTATAAGTTGGCATAACAATTCTGACCAATGAATTGAACAAGTGATCATTTAGCAATGGACCTAAACAATTCAGTTAATATGATTAATTTGGAATTTCAAATAAGCCTGATGTATAAAGATTCTCAAATAAACAACATTCAAAGAATTAGGTAACAAAAATCAACATAAAAAATCTAGAACCCTAACTCACTCTAAAATACTGTCTCCTTATATGGCAACATTTGATACATACAAGAAATCAATAGAAAACTCTAATGTGGATCCCCAACTTAGCACTTATTCTCTAAAACCAATTTCTGTACAATATTCAAGATATATGCAAAACTATTAACATAAGAAAATTTGCTTTTAAATATATCTGCCATTTTACATGAAAATAAGTTGCAGAACAATTTTATAATAAAATACAACAGATTTAAATTATTGTTCTATAACATATATTTTCATTGAAAATGAGAATATGAAAACACAGGCAACCAATTAGATTATGCTCACCATTGTACCATACTGCCGTGTTCTGCCACAAGAGTCTAGTGTGTGACAGGCACAAAATATCTTAGTTTAATAATTAACTAAGCTTTTCTGCACTATTGATCAGACAGTAAATGGTGGCAATCTTTCGAAAGCATTTATCAGTATATATGAAACACTAAAATGAACATGTAACTTCATTTAGTTCAGCATCCCCACTTCTAGTAATCTACCATATTAACGTTCAAAATCACGTATATCTCTAGGTGTCCAAGAACAATTTCTTTGCACAAGAAAAAAAGTTTGGACATAAGAAGAGAGTGTGAAAACAGCCACCATATAACAGGAAATGAGTTAAGTAAATTAAGAAAACTAGAATAAATTTCTATTTGAAAATAATATGTTGATCATTTTCCATGAAACAGTTCAGAAGTAACTGATAAATGAATGAGCAGATTATAAAGATAATGTAACACAGACAAAACAGAATGCATAAATATGCAGGTGTTTATGTACAAGAAAATTTTTGGAAGTAAATGCAGCAAATGCTAACAGTGGTTATTATTCTGTTGTTAAGATTTTGTTTGTTTCTATCACTGAATTTTTGTTTGCTAGAATTTTATCTTTACAATATTTATATACTTTGACAATGAATACAAAGCAATTAAATTCATTTACAAAATTTTAAAGCATTGCTCAACTTTTAAAAATGTGTGACTAAATGACAAAGCACAAATGCTACAATGAAAATATAACAGAAAGGTTAATCTCACTTTAACTTATTCACTCATTTGAAATGAATTCCTCATGTTTTATATCTTGCTACTTGTATTCTATGACCAGTTTATATAATGAATGTTGTTAGGTAGCCTTTTATTTGTTTGCTTGTTTTTGTTTCACATCAATTTGCCAAATTGCCTTTGTAGATTTTTCTACTCCCATTGTAATATCAAGACACAATTCAATTCAATGTCTAAAAGACTAGGTGGATTTTTATTCAAATACAGATAGTTTATTTTCTCATTCATAAAAATGGGCTAAATCCAATCCTTACCTTTCAGTGAAAAGTAAACACTGGTCTTTTGGGTTGAAACAAGAGAGTTGTTCTGTAGCAGAAAAGCATCCTGTAAATAAAAATAACATGAATCTGTACTTAAACTTCATTTTGCAAAAGTTTTTTTCACATATTACTGGACTTGTAAATCGTAATTTAGTATGGCTAGCATCTTACAATACTAACTGATAGCATATTACACCGTATATGCTGACAGAGGATGCACTTTCATTAGCACAAATCCCCCCTCCTCCCATCCTGCTGTTCCTGGAATTGAAACCTGCTTCATAAAAGTATAAAGGAAGCCTTCTTCTCTGTAATAACAGTAACATTTGAATACCCCTTTGTTTTATTTACAAGGCTATTGCAAGCATTGAAATGGGCTATGTGGCGCATTAGCAGCAAGGCTGTGGTATTATATCCCAGTTTAGAAAAAAGAAATAAAATAAAAATGGTGTAACTGACTCACGGTAACATGAGATCGCAAACCTTGTAGATGGATATAAACCAGGCTTGCCAAACATCACAGACAGCACTTATTAAATCTGCTACGTGGAATGCAATCTGCCTGCTCTCTAGCCCCTCCCCCTCTCCCAATAAACGATTTTGCCCACCCCCTTTTTTAATCTCACTGTGAAAATGCATGCTCATAGAATAGAGAAAATAATAATAATAAAGGCAGCGATAATCACAGTACCCATTTTCGCCATTTACAACATTTTCACCTATTTTTTTAATCGTTTTTTTGTTTGTTTGTTTTTTTGTTCAGGAGACCCATGACAAACCAAACAGGAATTCAGGATGGGCGGAAAGAAGAAAGACACTCCACTTCTCTTGTTAAGAACTATGGCTTAGCTTATATTTTTACCTAGTGTCTGCGTTTTAAAAAAAAATTATAAAACCATAAATATAATCGGGGGGAGGGTGGCTTCCGGGGGTTTGTGTCTCACCCACCGCGGAACGTCTGGAAAGATAGGCGGAGCCTTTGGGGGGGAGGCGTTGCCTTTGGTCAATCATTGGATTTGCGGTTTGTCAATCAAGATTGTCCGGCAAATGAGAAGCGAACTAAAAGAAAACTGGGCTGGAATTATCGGACTGTCTAACTGAGAGGGGAGGGGGCTGGCGATCGAAAACGAGAAGAGATCTCGGGGTCTCATACTGCGCCATTGGACTGCGGCACTCTTTTCCATCTGCCATAGCTGCTGCAGGAGACGTCTTGCCGACTCCACTCTCGCCCAGGCCTCTGCTGCCTTTACCGCCGCATCCGAGCCGCCGGAGCCCTGGTCCCCGGCCCTCTCAACCTTGCACCATTGCCGCCTTCGCCGTGGTTGTCATCTCCCAGCGCCGCCGCCGCCCCCAGCATCCGTGAGTTCTTTTCTGCCCATCTCCGGGCGCGCGATCTCCGCGGTAGTCACCACCTTCAGAGGTTTGCAGGCTTTGGGGATGGCAGAAGCAGATCCTAAAATGGTCTCGGAACCTGCCAGCGAGGGGGTTGCTGAAGAGGAGATGGCTAGCTCCGCTAGTGATTCTGGGGAAGAATCTGAGAGCAGTAGCTCCAGCAGCGGCAGCAGCAGCAGCAGTAGCAGCAGTAGCAGCAGTAGCAGCAGCAGCAGCAGCAGCCGCAGTACCAGCAGCAGCAGCAGTAGCAGCACTTGCAGCAGCCGCAGCCGCTTATATAGGAAGAGGAGGTTTCCGGAGCCTTCCAGAAGGGCGCAACGGGCTCCGTGGCGTAGAAGTTTCGTGGAGAGTCTACCTCAGGCTGTTAGAAACCGTGTGCAGGCTCTCCGAAATATTCAAAATGAATGTGACAAGGTGGATGCCATGTTCCTAAGGGCGATTCATGATCTCGAAAGAAAGTATGCGCAACTCAATAAGCCTCTATATGATAAGCGATTTCAGATCATCAATGCAGAATATGAGCCTACGGAAGAAGAATGTGAATGGAATTCCGAGGATGAGGAGTTCAGCAGTGATGAGGAGGTGCCGGATGCCAGCCCTAGTGAAATGCCTCCTTTAGAAGGCGAGGAAGATGACCCCAAAGAAAAAAGTGAGCTGAAAGCTGAAGAAAAGGAAGCGGTTGAAGACATCCCTGAGGCAAAGGCTGAAGCAAAGGAAATTCCTGAAGAAAATGCTGAGGTGAAAGCTGAAGAAAAGGAAGTTCCTGAAGAAAATGCTGAGGTGAAAGCTGAAGAAAGGGAAGTTCCTGAAGAAACCTCTGAGGAAAAGGCTGAAGACAAGGAAACTCCTGGAGAAAATCCGGAGGTAAAGGCTGACGAAACGCCAACTGTGAGAGAAGATCCCGAGGTAAAGGCCAAAGAAGAAGAAAAAGAAGATTCTGAAGATTGTATGCAGACAACACCTGCAGAAAAGGAAGACTCTAAAGAAGTCGCCCAGGGAAAGGCAGATGATACAGAAGAGCCTAAAGCAACAAAACCTAAGGTAAGGGTTGCTGTCAGAGAGGCTCACAAAAGACTTCATGAGACAAGGCCTAGAGAAAGAATGAATCTTAAAAGAGCTAGAAAGGGAAAGCCTAAAAGAGAAGATCCGAAAGGCATTCCTGATTACTGGCTAAATGTTTTGAAGAATGTTGACAGACTGGGGCCTATGATTCAGAAGTATGATGAGCCCATTCTGAGGTTCCTGTCAGATATTAGTCTGAAGTTCTCAAAACCTGGCCAGCCTATAAGTTACACTTTCGAATTTCATTTTCTACCAAATCCATACTTCAGAAATGAGCTGCTGGTGAAGACATACATAATAAAATCAAAGCCAGATCACAATGACCCCTTCTTCTCTTGGGGATGGGAGATTGAAGATTGCAAAGGCTGCAAGATAGATTGGAGAAGAGGAAAAGATGTTACTGTGACAACCACTTACAGCCGCACAACTGCTACTGGAGAAATTGAAATCCTGCCAAGAGTGGTTCCTAATGCATCATTCTTCAATTTCTTTAGCCCTCCTGAGATCCCTCATATCGGCAAGCTGGAACCACGAGAAGACGCCATTCTTGATGAGGACTTTGAAATTGGTCAAATTTTACATGATAATGTCATCCTGAAATCAATTTATTACTACACTGGTGAAGTCAACGGTGCCTGCTACCACAACGGCAAAGATTATGGAAACAGGAAGTATCGAAAGTAAAGAAAAATGCTGGCTGCAAGATTTTTCAAGGAACTTACAAGTTCCATCAGGAGTGAAGCTAGTTAATGCAGTATAGAAAGAAAAAGAAAAGAAAACCTGCCCTATAACTTGAACACTATTCCTTATTCCTTACACTCTTGTGTTCTCATATTTCCTTGGTAGTCTGTTTAAAAATTGTTCCCGAGATGTCTAAGTATCAGTTCATTCTAGCCTGTTGTATTGTGATATTTTTCAGAATATGTAAACTGCTGTCAATGATCTAAAGCATGTTTGTTTGGTGCTACAGAGTATTGATTTTTGTGAGGTCTTTTTGTCATGTTACTTTTTGATTATAGCTGTGAACAAAATGCCAGAGTTGTTAACTGAGACAAATATTTGCTTGAAAAAAAAAAAAAAAAACAAAGTTGCTGATGTACCAATGCAAGTGGTTTTTTTTTCTTTTTTTTTCCCAGCCCAGAAGACTGAAGGTTTAAATCTGCTTGCACTATATGTGCCTTTATTACTTTGCTGAGGAATATAATACTTATGCTAACTAGAAAAGTACATTGTGAAATTTGCTTGAAAAAATACTAGTATGCTTTTAAGAATGTCTGTCAAAGCCATGTTTGATTTCTGTGAATTTGTTTACTTGACATTGGTGTGTATAAATTGATTATAATGGAGTTATTATTTATACTGATGTGTTAATGTGAAATTGTATTTTTAAAAATTGTATTCATCTTGTATTATGTAATTGTAAACTAAAGATAATGCAGTTCTTTGTAACATCTTCTTTGCCTTTCACTGAAAATGATCACTTTACATCATTTGATACTTTATTGCAACCTCAAGTAAACAAGTGTTAAAATAAAATGTGCCATGCTACAAAACATTGAACACTTTTCTCTTGTAAGAATCTGATACTTAACATAGAAAGAAGTGGAACATACTGAGGCAAAGAAAAATTTAATCGAAGGTAACTGTTATTAATCTTCTGAAAATATTTCTCAGGTCTTGGCTCTTCTGATGGAGTGCACCCAAGTTACTGCTGGGAAATGGGGTGGGGGGGAGGAAGATGATGGGCAAGAAAGAGGAAGAGAAGGGCATGGAGCAATGGATTAGGGGAGGAAGAAAAGAGGTGAGGAGGTGAGAGGGAGGAATGGGGGGCCTGCGTGTGGAAGGGTTGGGGTGCGGGATGGGAAACAAGGAAAGGGGAGTGGGAATAATGTCTCACACAAAGAGACCATCTATATAAGTTGTTTTCACATTCTTCAGGGTCATTTTTCAACATGATTTGGGAGAATATCCTATTACTTCAACTTATCTTAAGAATAATATGAGCCTCAAACTGTTTCTTGACAGCATTCCACTCGTCTCAGGATAATTAGATCCTGAGATTGGAGATTAATGCAAAGAGGAGCTCCATTAAACCTATTTAATCAGCGGACTTTGCATTGAGCATAAAGGCACAAGCATGGCAGATAATCAACTGTTTTATTTCAGAAAACAAAAATAATTTGGAAGCACACTGCACTAAGCTAGGGCCCTGTTTGTGGACTGGTCTATTCTTTCCCAACCCATCTTTTGATCAGTTTTTATCACAAATTCTTTCCTCAAATAAAAAGGCAAATTTAAGGTGAAAGGAAATTGCCTCAAATCTAAAAGTTTATTAACTGTTAGCTGGAAAGGCAATTCACAGTTATCTTTAACATTTAAGTTAAAGGGTACACATGGGAACTGAAAGAAGCAAGTGCCAAGGATTTATACATCAATACAGTTTTTTTTTTTTTTTAAGATCTGTTTTATTTTTATTGGAAAGGCAGATATACAGAGAGGAGGAGAGACAGAGAGGAAGATCTTCCGTCTCATGATTCACTCCCCAAGTGAGTGCAACGGCCAGTGCTATGCCAATCCAAAGCCAGGATCCAAGAACCTCTTCCGGGTCTCCCACGTGGGTGCAGGGTCCCAAGGCTTTGGACTGTCCTCGACTGCTTTCCCAGACCACAAGCAGGGAGCTGGATGGGAAGCAGGACCGCTAGGATTAGAACTGGTGACCACATAGGATCCCAGAGCATTCAAAGTAAGGACTTTAATTGTTCTGCTTTCGCGCCAGGCCCTCAATAAAGTTTTGATTCCAGAAATGGACCTGGCCAGTCCTGGATGAACCAACCACCTCTGCAAGTTGAAGAGAAGGGTGAGTATTGCCAGAAATTGTTAGGCTGGCACACTCATTGGTATTCATACTTGATTCCTCTAGTGATTTATGATAGAAGGAGAAGCTGGCAGGGAATGAGGCTGAAGTGGAGGGGGCCTGAGAAATACTTCATAGCATCTCTTAATGTGTTTCCTTCTGGTGCTCTTTTTGCTTTTCTTAAAAAAAAAAAAAAAAAAAAAAAAGGTTTATTTATTTTTATTGGAAAGTCAGATACACAAAGAGAAAGACACACAGTTAGGCAAAACTTCCATCTCTTGATTCACAAGTGGCCGCAATAGCCAGAACTGAACCAATCCGAAGCCAGGAGCCAGGAGCTTCTTCTGGGTCTCCCATGCAGGTGCAGGGTCCCAAGGCTTTGGGCTGTCCTCCACTGTTTTCCCAGACCACTGGCAGGGAGCAGGATGGGAAGTGGAATAGTTGGGTCATGAACTGGTGCCCATATGGGAACCTGACGCATTCAAGGCAAGGAGTTTAGCCACCAGACTACCGTGCCGGGCCTGTTCTATTTGCTTTTGCAATTTGAAGTCAGATGTCCACTTTGCTGAATTCCCTTAAGAAAAAGCTCCTGCTGCTGATGTCACATTTTCCTTAATTCATTGCTGTTCAGAGTTAGGCCCTGAATACTCTCTGCTGTCAGCTGAACGTACGTTTGCTTCTTTACCTTGGCAGACTCATAAGAAAAGACTTTCTAAAGTAGCAGTACCAGAGAGTTGCTGAAAATGTAAAGAGAGAAACATGAGCCGAATGAATAAATTAGCAAAACTGTCAGATGATGCAAACAATTCATGCTGTCCCTCAGAGTTCCCCAATCCCAACTCTTCCTGGTGGGTACTGTAGCCGAACCCTACCCTGGTGATATAGCATAAGAAATATCAATATATTTGTCCCCCACAATGAAGAAACTAGCATAGCTTAATTTGCTCAAGAATTGCAAGCTATGGAAACTCCAACCTTAAGTGAAGGAGTTCTGAAAACACATTTATTTGCTTCAGTTTTCTTTTTCCAAAACAATGCATTTGTTTTATTTTTGATGATGTTAACATGATTGACAAGTTCAAATGACCACATGGGCCACTGAATAATGTGGGGGAGGTTGAAAAATAGGGGAAAAGGATGAGGCATTTGTTTCTAATCACCTCTTTGCTTCCTGCATCTGGGGGAAGTAGGGAGAGAAGGAGAGAAGGCTTCTCTCAGTATGCCAACAGCTTCAGCACTAGGAGATGGCAAACTGCCACCCGGTGGCATCCCAGCATCCCAAATGTGGAGCATGTTCTGAAGATACTGCTTAACTGGTTAGGATACTTCGGAATCACTTTTGATTCATTGCTCCAAGATTGAGGAAATCCTTCCAGGGTACATTGGCTGACATAATCCATCTTAGTGTCTCATTTTGCCCATATACTCAGTCAAAGCTTGGAGAACTGTCCAGTTATTTTCTGCCCTCCATTGTACTGAAAGTCCTCTGCAGGCCTCAACGATTTGACACAGATCCCTATGAATTTCCCTGTGGTTGGAGTTCTGAGACGAGTGATCCAGGGGGAGAATCCCAAGGAAACCTCCCCTGACTCCTGTGTGTCAACCAGTGTGGGGTCCAGGCTGAGTCTTTATCCCACCCACATCAGCCTATGCACACACCAGTTGCAGTCATTTGGTTAGTTCTATCCCCAACCCTACTTCATATACAAACCAGCGGATGCTGCAGTCTAAGCCAACTCTGCCCAAAACACCCTTGGCCCTCACGAACACCAGCAGGAACTAGAGACTTCTCAAACAAAACAAACAAAAAACAAACAAACAAAAAAACCTGATAACCCCTATTAATCCTGCCTTCAGCCTGGGCTCCTGTGTATGCCAGTATGTGCAAAAGACAGTGCAGTCTTTTCCACTTCCCATTCAGCTCTCATCCACTTAGTAAGTGTTGAAGTCTAGTTCAGCCCAGCTGAACTATCTAGCCCATGCTCATGCCAGTGGGAACTAAAACCTGCCTAGCCAGACCCACCAGCCTTGGTTCTCATGCTCACCACTAGGAGCTACAGCCATCAGATGGGTGCCCACAATTCCCCTACTGGGCCAACTCCCAGTGCCAGATCTTGCACTCTCAAGGTGGTTCTGCAATCTATCCTGACAGGACTTGCCCTTCATTCTGACACTTGCCAGCTGATGCTGCAGCAAAGCCTGAGCAGCCTGCACTTAGTCTGGCTCATGAATGCACCAGTGAATACAGTCACTTAGCCCAATCTGGCTCTCCCCCAACACAACTGACCTATAAGCCAATGGGTTTTGGAGCTCTTTCCAGCCTGGTCTGCCCCCAACTCTCAAGTTTACCAGCAGGAGCACTGGCATATCAGGAGAGCTCCCGCAGTCTCCCTACCAGCTCCATACCCAGCCCCCTAAATCTTGCTCATGCCATGGCCCAGGCTGGTAAGGCCAGCCTCATCTTGACATTTACTGGCAGTGCTACAGCCTGTCTGGGCCCGGCCTGCCCCAAGTTCCAGTTAATGTTGCCGGGTGCTGCAGCGTAGCACAGTTTGGACTGCGAGCAGTCCTGGCCCTAATATGAACTGGCTGCTGTTGTGGACCATTCCAGCTTTTCCTGTACCCATCCTGGTTCTAATACCTCCAGTGAGTGCTATAAACTATCTCAACTTGGCCTGGACCAGACCTGACCAACACAAATGCTGAGGGTTGCGGTAACTTAGCTTGATTAGGTCTACTCCCAGCCTAGATTCTTGTGCTCACCTGCAGGGACTTCATTCTAATAAAGGTGATTCCCAAGCTCCTCTCTCAGGTCACCTCCCAGTCTCAGATCTCATGCACATTGGTGGATTCTTGGTCAAGCCTGACGTGGCCCCTTCCTGTCCTGGCAGGTACAGCAGCCTTGCCCAACCAGCCCACAGCCATTCTGCCACTTACTGTTGGGTTTTACAATCCAGCACCACCTATCCCTCCCCAGACTCAGCTTTCATGAGAGTCAGTGGGTGCTGAGACCTAACCTAGAATTTCCTACACCTACCCTGGCTCTCATGAGCATGAGTGGGTGCTGGAGTCTAGCCCAGTCTGGCACATCCCAGACCCAGTCCACACTCATACTGAGGGACACTTACAGTCATGTCCAGCCCAGTTTGCTAGCCCCGTTCTGGCTCTCACACTCACTAGTGGGAACTATAACCCAGCTGCAGTGTCCCCTTAGCTCCACAACCAGGCCTGCTCCTAGCCACAGTTCTTGCATGTGTTGGTAGATGTTTTGATTCATCCTAGCATAGCCAAACCCTCTTATTGGCCTTTGCAATTAGATGCTGCAGTCTGGCCTTCAATGCCCAGTTCCCAGGCCCAACTCTTCCTGGTGGATATGATAGCATAACCCTACCCAGTCTGCCCCCATCCATGGTTTTCATAGAAATCAGGAGGTATGATAGCCTAGCTGAGCATGGCCCACACTTCATCCAGGCTTCTGCAGATAGCAGTGTTCTGTGGGTTGCTTTGACCCTGCCTGTTTTGCTTCCAGCCCCAGAGTCAAACCATACACCTGATGAATGGAGCAGCCTTGTCCAGCCTGACCAATATCTAGCCCTGACTCCTATGCTCACCAGAAGGAACTACAACCTACCAGTGGATTTCCCAAGTTCCCTCACCAGACCCACTCCCAGACTTAGATTTCATGTATGCAGT